GTGTGTGTGTGTGTGTGTGTGTGTGTGATGTAACAAGCAGAGGAGTGTGAGGGTGGGGGCTTCTCTCTCTCCCCCCACAGAGCGCAGCATGAGCGCTCCGCAGCAAAAGGATGTGTGAGCAGGCAGCGCGCTACTGTCGGGACGGAGTCCACAAACTGCTGAACAAAGAACAAGCCAAACTCCGAGCCCAGGAGAGCCGCCGCGAGCAGCCCGAACCCGTAGCCGGCCAGGACAGCGAGTCCGCGACGGCAGCGCAGTCCGGAAACAGCGGCGCCCAGCCCGGTGGAATCGACGGGCTTGTCCGCTGGATCGTCACCAAAATGAGCGACAACAAGAACGTCTCCAGCCGGGAGTACGCCTCCAGCAAGGAGGAGGTGGCCGTGGCCCAGGAGCAGTTCTTCGCCCCGGAGCCCCGCAGAGGCATCTCTGTCATCCTGGATGTGAGTATGAGGCGGCGGGAGGCGGGCGGGCAGCCCCCCGGAGCCGGCGGGGCGGGGAGGACCGTGCGCTCTTTACGCACAGTTAACTTTAACGCAGCGTCACTCCGCTCTCCATCAGGCATGTTTACCTGAGACAGCTGACAGCAAAGTCCGGGACACACTCCTGTCAGAATCAATGTTCTGTTAGGGTCTCTGAGAGCAGAACCGTCCAGGCTGCAGAGCTGGGAGAGGTTCAGGTTCAGGGGCGGATCTAGAGATTTCACGGGAGGTGAGGGAGGGGCACCAGGTTCTAGCTGGGGCAGGGGTCTGCAGCCTTTACAATCAAAATAACAGGAGGAAACCTCCAGCAGAACCAGACTTAAGCCTGGTTTATACTTCAAGTCACACGTCTTTTTCCCCTGCTGAGTAAAAAAAAAAAGTTCAACTTCAGTCTGCTCTGCAGCCGTCCTGTGGCCTCCAGTCAGAACTGTGCCGACGGGACGTTGTCTCTGTGTGTGATAGGTCCAGTGTTTGTGGGTGTTTGTTCATGAGGAGCACCGCAGAGGGCCAGTAGTCCTCAGCTGTGCTGAGGAGTTAGAGCTGGACCAGAACAGGACCCGAGCTCAGTTCTCTCTGCGTGTAATTATGCCCCCCCCCCCCCACACACACACACACACACGAAGCGTCAGCAGGAGTCATATTGTTTTCGTACAGTTTTTATTTTTCATTGATTTTTGGTCAACCGTAGCACAAAAACGACTGCACCGATCAACATGAAATTTGGCAAGACTGTAGATTAGTCTGACCTACACTGCACCAGCCAACGGTTTTATGATAGACCCCATATTTGAGGAGGGGGCTCCTTTCAAAGAGGGGGTGTCAGGACATGCAAAAATGCTTATAACTCAGAAACTGTTCAACATAGAAGCTTCAGATTTCTTTTGTTGTTTAGCTCTGATGAAGCTCTATCCATCAGGTCAACCAATGCCCCCCCAAAAATAAAAAAAATAAAATAAAACTACAATTTTGGGATGCACCTGGTAGCATGACATTTATAAGGAATAAAAACTTCTGAGTTCTGGTGCATTTCTGCGTGCGGGAGTCATTAAGTCTCCACTCTGCGGTGTCTAGTTCTGTTTAAAATGATGTTTTTTGTCTGAAGCCAGTTTTAAAAAGAGCTCAAAGAGCAGCTGGTTTGATCCAGATCCAAAGGATGAACGTTAGCGTGCAGCTGGTCGTGTCTTTTTTTTTATGTCCACCGTTAACAAAAAAAAAAAAATTGGCTTTACTTCACTCAACTTAACACTGATGTTGAGTGGAAAAAACACGATCCAGCCATCGTTATTGTGTTTATATACTTTTATATGAGCTGTGGGAGGGCAGAGGGAGCATTTATGATCATTCATGGCCCACTGCGTCTTCAACCCATTTATACTCGGTCAGGAAAAGACGCGCTGAAATTGCACAATCATCAACTCGCTGTCTCACGTCTTATTGAAGTATAATCCAGGCTTTAGGACTGACTGGGTTTGAGGGACAGGAAAGAGACACAGAAGGACCGGTCCGGTCCAGGTGTATTTTCCTCTGGAAGAGAGACAGAAAACACGTTATTGATGGAATTAAAACAAACAAGTAGAGAAGAGAGACTAAAGACCAGAGGCTTATAGTAATTAAGTACATTTACTTAGTTACAGTACTTAAGTAATTTTTGGAGGATTTGTAATTTTGCCAAGTATTTTTTTACATCGTTACTTTTAGTTTTATTTCATTACATTTTAAACCTAAAATTGATGTTTTTACTTCTTTACTTTAAAATGTAAAATCTAGTTACTCTTTACAATATTAAATCTGTCCAAACTCATCATGAAAAATGATATTTCTGCACTTTAAAAGCTGAAGTGTTGAATTTACTCAACCAAGTCACATCAGCTGGTTTCACTAAACCCAGTAGGTTAAATACGAGACAAGAATATTTTCTCCACTTGGTTTAGTGGGACCAGTTTGGTTAAACCCTTAACAGACGCCACTGAAATTTCTTAAAAGCCTTTTGACATTTTTAAGGTGCCAAACTAAAGGTAGGAACCAGAGGAAGTTGTCTGAAATCCTAGTCTTCAAAATAAAAGCCCCTGGTAATGTCTGGAAACTTTTAAAGGCAGAAACTGAAACTTTTTTGCCCGCCGGTGTAACAAAGACTGTTAAGGGGTTCAGTAAATTCTACAGTTTATTTCTTAGAGAGTGTGTAAAAGTACTTTTACTTTTCCAATTTTTATGAAGTTTTTTTTCTCATCAGTGAAATTTAATTTTACCAAAGTCATTTTCTGTTCAGGTAGTTTTACTTTTACTTTATTAGACCTCTGCTAAAGACAGCAGCAGAGTGAGGACTTGTGGTCAGTTTGTGCTCCAGCAGTCTGTCTACAGCAGCAGAAATGAAGAATAATTCAGGAAACCTCAGTCTAACTATAGGTTTTATGAAAAAGGAAAGTCTTCAGTCTAATCTTAAAAGTAGACAGAGTGTCAGCCTCACGGACAGAAACTGGAAGTTGGTTCCACAAGAGAGGAGCTTGATAACTGAAAGCTCTGCCTCCCATTCTACTTTTAGAAACTCCAGGAACCACAAGTAAACCTGCAGTCTGAGAGTGAAGTGCTCTGTTAGGAAAGGATGGAACAATAAGATGTTTAATATATGATGGAGCTTGGTTGTTAACAGCTTTGTATGTTAGGAGGAATATTTTAAATTCTACTCTGAATTTGACAGGGAGCCAGTGGAGAGAAGCTAAAACTGGAGAAATATGGCTACGTTCACACTGCAGGCAAATCCGACCCAAATCCYATTTTTTTGACCCATCTGACTCATATCCAATTTTTTTATGACAGTCTGAACGAGACAAATCCGATTTTTACAAATCTGACCCAGGCCGTTTCAGTATGTGGTTTTAAATCGGATATATATCTGATGTTTTCAAAGTGACTGCAGTGTGAACGCTCATGTCACATTCATCTGACTTTTTCATCAGGAGGAGGGGCTGAAGGATCGATAAGACACTAACCTCAAGTCTTGCTGTTTAAATCTGTAGCTCCATGTGTTTACAGCTCCAAAACACAAGTCCAGTTGTTTCATCTTTTTACTTTTCATTAGTCTGATAATAACGATGTCCAGCCTGGGTCGCGGAGAGTATCGATCCTAAAGTTAGCTACTCGGTCGATACTTTTTTCCAGCTCTTAGTTTCGTTTAAAAAAAAAAAGCTTCATTGGAGCATCCCGGTCAGAGGCAGCTTCAGATATAAGCACTGAACTAAAGAAGCAGGTCAGATAATAATTTAATCGGCTCTGATTAAACAACAACTTCTGATTCGATGCGAAAAATGTAGCATCCATGCTAGCTCTGTAAACAAACAAGCTGGCTGATGAGACGTCACATCTTTTACTGCGCATGCGTGTCACATCGGTGCTGTGTAGCGTTCACACAGGGGTCTGATGCAGGTCACATTTAAAATGTAATGTGAACGTTCACACAAAAAGATCGGATTTTTTCAAAAAATCGGAACTGAGCATTAAGACCTGCAGTGTGAACGTAGCCTATGATCTCTTCTTCCAACTCATTAAAACTCTAGCAGCAGCATTTTGGATCAACTGCTGGCCCGTGGGCCTCTTCCAGTTTGTTGAAGTGGGGCCATTACAACATGTGTGGGTGACGTTATTGAATAAAAATTAAATATTTAACATTAACATTTAGCTTTGTTGTCATGTTTACACCTTTTATACAGATTCTACCTAATTCTAGCGCAGGTTGCAGAGCCCTGAGTTAGAAATTCAGATTATTAATCCACGTGTCTGTGGAAGGGCTTCATAAGGCAACTAGGATTTTTCATTTGATTCTTTAAGATGTTTCATGTCTCATCCTTGTGTTTGACAGGTCACATGATCACATGTACACCATGTGTGATCGTAGTGACACCATGTGTGACCGTAGTGACACCATGTGTGACCGTAGTGACACCATGTGTGACCGTAGTGACACCATGTGTGACCGTAGTGACACCATGTGTGAC